ATCTAACATAAAGTCCTAGTCTCCTATCAATAGACTAGTATGATTTTTGAATAGGATTGATATTGATCATAAATGATGCAGCATTTTACAAAGCACATTTTTTATTTGTTTTATTGCTGCCACTGAATGTGCAAGAAATAATTTCACAACAATTTGTTATTTGCTAGATAAATGTATAAAAATACAAGAAATAGCATCCTCCCACTTTTTTTTTGTGCCGCCTCAACTTCTGACAACTTGGCATTCAGGAGATTTGGATCAAATGAAAACATCCGCATTGAGCTATTCAACGGAGCTTGCTTAAATTCTAAAATCCCTGTCTTACTCAGGTTGACCCCCCTTTATATTTTCATGTCCGTCTCGTCTATGTTCCTCTTCCATCTTCCTCCTGTGTCCGTTCCTTCCTCCCCATCCTTCCTCCCCCCGCTTGTGTGTTGTGTTGTTGTCCAGGGCACACTGAAGCCCAACAATAAAGATGTGCTCATCTCCTTCCTCCCTTTGGCCCACATGTTTGAGAGGGTGGTGGAGGTACAGTACACCATGCTTGACCTGCGTACACGCATGTGTTTTATTTTGTGTCCTCCCTCCGCAGGTACACTGCATGCTGGACCTTCATGACATTCATGTTTCCTATCTACCCCTAGCTCACATGTTTGAGAGGGTTGTACAGGTATGTGTTGGGCTTGTTTACCTTTGGAAGTATTGCATAATGAAATTGTAAGTGGAGTTTAAAGAGTCATAGTCAGAATTATTGTGAGTTATTAAAATTATAATTGTGAGTCTCTGGTTTTTAATAATGTAGTTTGACTTCATTATAAGTAGGTATTGTTTGTAGATTATAAAAGTAAATCATGTGAGACTTTGGGGAATAGTGACCAGTGCTCTGCTAGTTGCTTTTCATAACAGTATTTAAGCTTAGTTGCATGTTTTAATGATTTCCTTCTAACTTAACTTAGAGTTAAGGGCAATATTTTTGCAGTACCAACCAAAATGCGACTGTAGAACAGAGTATCTAAAACTCTACTAGAATGTGGCATTAAATGATTAATTATATGGTTTAATTATTCTTTGAGCGGATATTTCCATATTTATGTTATAACTTTATTCATTTTTGGCTGCTTTTTATTAAGACACAATTAGAAACTGATGGGGTTTTTTTTAAGTTTCGCAAATTTTTTGTTAAATTTATAAAAATATATTTTTTTAATTATTATTATACCTAGCCTAACCTGTTTTGATGAATTTTGTGATTAATATATTTATATTAATATAATATATTTTCCACTTTTAAGTAACAGCTTCTGAATTTGTAAAATACATAAGTGGGTTTTAAATACCAAACATTGGATATGTGGTGAATTGTTAACAACACTGCCCCCTTGTGGATAAAACGCCACACTGATTTAACTTGCACAGTAGGAATAAGCAGCTCTCTTTTCGTCAGGGCGTCGTCCTCATCCATGGGGCTCGAATCGGCTATTTCCAAGGGGACATTCGACTTTTGATGGATGATTTAAAGACGCTGCAGCCGACGGTCTTCCCTGTGGTCCCTCGTCTCCTCAACCGCATGTTTGATAAGGTCAGATAAAATATACGAGCCTACAAAAGACATGTCAAAGAGAAATGCCATCTGATTCATCTTCTTCTTACATTTTCCAGGAATTTTTCTCTGGTCCGCCAACTTGTTTAATATAAGATGTGATTCTCTGTGGCAGACAAGTGCTCCAGGCCCTTAAAATAATCTCCGTTCTCCACAGGTATTTAGTCAAGCAAACACACCGCTGAAGAGATGGGTGCTCGATTTTGCTTTCAGGAGGAAGGAGGCAGAGCTTAAAAGTGGTGTGGTCAGAAAGGACAGCATGTGGGACAAAATCATCTTCAAAAAAGTACAGGTAAACACGGCCGGCTCTGCAAATGCATCTTATGTTTTTGTTCAATTCGCTCTGAAACATATTACTGATATAGGGCATTCTTAGCTTCGAATGAGGCATGGTCTGTATTTGTACGTATGTTCCTTGTTATTATAGGTCAGACAAACATCAACAAAGTTCCTTACAGTAATTTTCATCATTCGTTTTTTATGATGCATCGTAAACAGTTTGAACATTGAAGGTCTTTCTGTTCGTTTCACTCTTTGCAGGCGAGCCTGGGTGGTCGTGTGAGACTCATGATCACAGGAGCAGCTCCAGTGTCTCCAACCATCCTGACATTCCTACGCGCTGCACTGGGCTGTCAGGTGAGCCACATCCACACATGCCCCTCTCATTTATGGATAACTGTTTTGTTTTCATGACAAAAAAAAAAAAAAACATGTCCTGCACTCCCCAGTTTTATGAAGGCTATGGCCAGACTGAATGTACAGCTGGGTGCACCATGTCAATGCCCGGGGACTGGACAGCAGGTACAAAAGCTACGTCAAACTGCTGCGCATGTATTGCGGCCTATGTGTAAAATGTACACAGTTATTTCTCTGAATCCTGAACAGTGATTCTTTTGTGGCTCCAGGTCACGTTGGGCCTCCTCTGCCCTGCAATGCTGTCAAACTGGTGGATGTGGCAGAAATGAACTACCTGGCAGCCAACGGAGAGGGAGAGGTAAGGAGAGGCGTCAGTAACAATCAAATACACACAGTGGGTGGGAAAATGTATTTATTTGTTTTGTATTCAGTAACAGCATTTCCTATAAATGCTTAGTAAAATACTTAATAGTATTATTTTAACTTATTATTATGAACAAACAGATTTCCCTTAAAAGACCAAAATAAACAGAGAATTTATCCTACAAACAAGGATTATTATTATTGTTATATTATTAAAAGTAAAACACACTCGACTTCAGAAGAAACTAAAGAAGCCAATTTAAATCACGATGAACGCAAGTAATACATAAGAGTGCATTTTAAAGCATGTACAGTCATCCCACTAGCATAGATATAAATGTGATACCTTTGCATGTGTGTTTATGTAGATTTTTTTCCATCCATGTTATCTGTCCATCTAGGTGTGTATCAAAGGACCAAATGTATTCCAGGGATACCTGAAAGATCCCGAGAAAACAGAGGAGGCCATTGACAAGGACGGATGGCTGCACACAGGAGACATTGGGAAATGGCTTCCTGTAAGCAAAACAGACTGAAGGGCACTATTGATATTATTGTTATTCTGGGCAGATCTATTAAGGCTAGTGGCATAGCATCAGTTGCAACCTTCATTTACAAAGTTGTTTGTTGCAGAATGGCACCCTGAAGATTACTGACAGAAAGAAGCACATTTTCAAACTGGCGCAAGGAGAATACATCGCCCCTGAGAAAGTAGAAACCGTCTATAATCTCAGTGATCCAGTGGCCCAGATATTTGTTCATGGTGACAGTTTACAGGCAAGTTATTAATGTGAAACTGGTATCGCAGTGAATGTCAGATATTCTTATCATACACAGTACAGTTTTTAGTTTGTTAAAACTTGCATAGCACTGATCTTCCTGGTATGTGTTGTCTTTTTCAGGCATGCCTTGTGGGGATAGTGGTACCTGATCCAGACTTTTTACCTATTTGGCTCAAGAAAAAAGGGATTGAAGGGTCCTACTCTGAACTGTGCAAAAACAAGGTGAGATTCATAAATCAGCAGTCCAAACACACACAGTCCCACATGCTATGAATGCTAACACTTTTCTGTTTTTAGGATGTGAAGACTGCCATTCTGGAGGACATCTTGAGGTTGGGCAAGGAAGCAGGACTCAAGTCTTTTGAGCAGGTTATTGTTGCCGTGTTTGACTTCATCCTTAAAGTTCTACGTTTTTCATTCTGCTGCATTTGATCTGGCAACAACATATTTGATTCAATAACGATTGAAATTAGAGCTAAAACATATATTTTATTGACTGAATAAATAACCAACTACTTTGATATTCTATTACTAGTTTTTCAAGCAAAAATGGCAGTTACATCTTATCCATTATAAGAGTGTACTGCACACCAGGGGCATTTTTCACAAGTTTTGAATGAAACAAATGATTAATCAGCAGATTAATCACAGTTATACTCTTTGTTAATCATTAATCTTTTGTCCTTTTTTTCCCTCTGCAGGTGAGAGATATTGCATTACATCCTGAGATGTTTTCTGTCCAGAACGGCCTGCTGACACCCACCCTAAAGGCCAAGAGGGCCGAGCTTCGGAGCCGCTTCAGAGAACAAATAGATGAACTCTATGCCAAAATTAAGATGTAAACTGGGATCGAAGAGTACTGTAGCACACAGCCAGAACCAAATAGTGTATTGAGGGGAAAGTCCATTTATTTTTCTACCAGTGACAGCCTTCACAATTCTGTGGGGATTGCTTTCAAACAAACTGAATAGTATGTATTGTCCAGCTAAATCAAATCATTTTACCACTGAATTTGCCCAGCTACTACTGGCTAATTAGTTCAGAATATCCCAGAACATGCCGTCATGTTACTGGTATAATTTATCCAAGATTAAGGGTTTAAAAATACAAAAAGGGGAAATGTGAAATGCTCAACTGCCATTAAGTCTGACTACTTCATGGGCAGAAAGGTCCAGCCCTTGAAAACATCTGTGATAGTTATTTTTTTGAAATTAATTATTAATTATTATTGGGAGCTGCAGAGAAAATCCTATAAACATGCGTTCACACCGGTAACAAATATTGAGTATTTATATAGCAGACTATTTAATGTTTTGGTCACCTATTTAAGTTGATATTTAATGTAATCATTAAACCTGTAAATAGTGTATCTGCTGGAAAGTCTATTTGTATGCAGAGTACCGTGTCTCATACTCTGTGGATCCCTGCATTCCCATGTTTCTCAATGCTGTAGGCTAAAGGACAGATAAAACCGGTTTTAGTGCACAGTTTAGTTGATAGCCTATTGGGAATCTTGCTGCTTGACAAACTTTTTGTGCCTTCTTGGTTGTTTTTGTTTTCCTAAAACATTGCATGGAAAATATTTAATGTTACTATAATGTATACATGCATTTCCTCCTTTTTAGATTATCAAATTTCTGTGCCACAGGCTGTTGGATAAAAGCTGCATACTGTCATTTGTGTAATGCACAATTCTTCAGGGTTAATATTTGGAACACTGGTTTCTCAAGGATCATCTAAAGAAGCCGGTTTTTCAAAATTAATTAAATGTCCGTGCCAGCATTTCCCATTAACATTTCACTGATGGTCCATGAAAACCACCAGTCTTGTGTGAACCAGAGCAGCAATTCAGCTGTTTGACACAAAGTTTGGTTGAATTTAGATGTTTTGACTGCAATGTGATCAATACACACATCGAATCATGTTGACATTGACATTTCAAGCCATATTTTTTTTTTTTAAAGACTTATGATATGAAAAGGGCAAAGGTGCAGTTTTGTGCTAGATTTAAGTACAGTAGCTTTATTTGTCAAGTGTACCAAATAAATACTTTCTTCCAAAACTTTGGTATTCAGTTTCTGTCTTTTATAATGGGAAATTGTCAATAAAGTGCATTAATCTGTGTATCTTGGCAACACTTTAAGGTCCCGCTACTTATCATTTATAAGCAGTATTTAAACATTTCTTAAATGTTTTATAACACTAATTTAGTAATATAAAGCTTAAAAAATATGAAGTGTTAATGTACATAAATTGTTAAATTATTTCTCATATTACATTTCACTCATTTTACGCTGCTTAAAAATTCTAAATAGGAGGACTTAATGGTAAGGGATTACCATTATCTTTGCTGTACAGCCAGTGCAAAACATTAGACCTCACCGTCTACTTGGAATCAAAATCTTCCATACATTTGAGCAGAAGCTGATCAGAGACATCCCCGTTGTTTTCTTCAAAGTCATCCAGGCTCTCTAAATAGTCCTGGTCATCCTGTCCGTCTCCCCACACATCAGCAGGTTCCTCCTCTGGACACACTGGGCTCTGTTGGACCAGGTTTGGTCTCTGGCTGGGTTCAATGTTGCCAGCATCGTCCATTAAGTAAGCTTGGTCTTCGTCATCCTGCAAGTGAAGAGAAGACATAATAAGACAACGCTGAATGTTGTGAAGACCAACATGTCTTTGAGCTTTAAATGAAGACAAACAGGATTTTCTTGGATGCTAGTTAAAATAAACCAAACTAACCAGGGTCATGATGTAGCTGAAACAGATCTCCTGGGGCAGTGGGTAACCTGTAACATTAGAAATGTTCATCTCAGACCACCACTGTGCAATTTATTACCCCACAGACAGCATCATGTGCCCTTGAGGTGGTTTTAAATATAAAAAGTCAGTTTGGCAGCTCGTGGGGTCATAACATACTTAAGGACCTGAAGTTCTTGCATTCAGGATCGTGACACTTCTGGTACCACACTTCCTCTTTGAGATCCACAACGATCCTGCAGAGGAGGGCGAGACTAAATCAGAAGAGTGGAGCACATTTGAAGACGGTCTATAAAACATAAAAACATACGCACATGATGTTGTTGCTTTTATGAAACCGTTTCACGTTCTCACACCAGCGGTATTTTGCGATGTCGTAGACAAGCAGTTGTTCAGCAGCAAAGTAGTTCCATCGTCTGATGCCTGTTGAAGTAAACGTAACAGATAGTACTGACATTACTGATACTTACTGTTACAATCAAATCTGTCACATTTTTGACCGTGTACATTTTTTTTGATATTCATTCATTATTTATTTATTTATAGAAAAAAAAAAAAAACTGAAGAAATAGATGCTGAGTTAGTTGGAATAGTGAAACATCTTTTTTAGTACTGGTGTCTTTTTTTAATGATTGTATAATTTTGATGTTTTTATTAGATGTATGAGTGGACAAGCGAATATTTGTCCAGATAGCAGATACATGTCACTCCCTTTTCCCGCCTGCCTCCCAGCCTAGACTTAAGGGCCACAATGGAAATAAGTCATGTGACTTTATTGCGATATCCTGATGAATTTTAGTACTGTATGCACACTGTATTGTAATCTACTAAATAAAGTCAATCCAGGTAGGAATTATTGCAGGCCTGTTGTATTAGGCTGTGTTAGTTTTAGCCAGGTGTATCTAATAAATTAACAACTGAGTGTATATTATGTGCCGATTTGCACATAAAAAAATGTCTACAGTATTATCACATGCTGATATCTGTATCATATGGATACATTTATGAGCTCTACAAACGCACCATTTATTAATTTTATAATTGTTCATTAATCAAAAATGGGGGTTTTCTGCTGTTCTCTGTTCTATATCATTGTCAACAGAATATTTTTGGTATTTGTTGTAGAGCAAACAAAACAGCACATCTGAAGTCATTACCTTGAGCTTTAGGGAATTGTGACAGGCCTTTTTCACTGTTTTGACATTTTATTTCTAACTCTCAACAGATTAAATCAATAATAAAGATGACCACTTCTCGCAGCCCTAGGTCCCAAACTAGTCATTGTTTTGCCAAAGCATATCCTGTATCAGCCCCAACACTTACTTCCGTGTATGTCGTCCTTTTTAACCACAGTTAATACAAAGCTGTCCACTTCTTGATGAGGAGACGACAGGCAGCCAGAAAGTGAGTCTGCCAGTGATGGATAGGAAATAGGTACATAAATTAAAAATAATTAGATAAAAAAAAAAAAAAAGGTAAAATATTGATATGCGGACTGATTCTATAATACACTATGTGTGTATGCACAATATAGAGAGAAGCCTCTTTTGTCAGTTCAGTGTTACCTGAATTTGTGGCTGATCCCTGCTGGCAAGGGGACCTCAAGGTTTTGGCTTCCTTTGTTTCTGGGACATCCCAAGTAAGAATTCTCTGACCTGTAAAACTGATGATACACAGAAAAAAGATGTAATACTGTGGCTTCATGAAGGCGATTCTTTCAGCACACAGAAAACATTTTCAAGGTTACCTTAAATTACAGACCAAGGAAGCCAAGAATACACTCTCCTCCACAGAAATTCCCTTCTCAGGTTTGGCAATAAACTTGTTGTCATCTGCCACCGTGAATGCAGCATTTTTCCCCACTTTTGATGACTTGTAAAGGCGGAAATTTCTGTTCTTGGTGTAAACACCTGTTTTTGGAAATTATAACCATAATTATATATGACACATGTTTACATTATATCAATATTAATGTATAATGTGTATACATGTATATCTGTTCAGTCATCATCATATTATTATTATATACTGTTATTATATACTGTTATTAACAATAACACTACCATCATATCATCAGTACTATTACCACCATCTTGCAA